GGGTGGGGCTGGCCTGTGCTTGGGGTGGGTGGTGGTGGTTCTGGGACCGGAGCTATGGGGTGGACACACAGATCCAGGGGGCACACAGATCTGAGGGGCACATGCTCCCTGTGTCTGGCCCGGGGGTGTGTGCAGCAGCAGGAGCCACTCCTCCCTCCCTCCCCTTGCTTCCCCGATGAACCTCTCGTGGCTTTGTGCCATGCCCTGCCCTGGCTGGGCAGCCGCAGTCCCCCTCCTCCCTCGCTGTTGGGGCCCCGATCTGCCCCACCATGCCACTCCCCCCTGACTCACCAGCCGGATGCTGCTCTCCAAGCTGCTGGGCTGCATATTGGCAATTGGATCAGTATCGGCCGATATGGCTCGTTAATAATCGGCCATCAGTATTGGTCCAAAAAATCTTCAGCAGTAGACCCCCAGAAACTGAGGTTATGGTAATATCATGAAAATATAGTTGGCATATATATAACAATAAATGTTATGTCTAACTTGTTTTAACTCGTGCTGTCATATTGAGTGTGCGTATTTTAAACTCAGTGCTATGAATAGAGGGAATAGGGAATTTATACTTGTGAGCACATGAATGGATTACTCAATAAAATTTACAAGATGGCTTGTCTCCCTAAACAGCCACACTTGCTAATGTGAGGCTTTTGTTTTTTATAGTGCTGGTTGTCAGTACTACTCTATTCCTTATCTTTTCTGTCAGCTGTTCTCTGTAGCTCAGAGACTGCTCAACTCAGAGCTGCATTATTGCATTAAGTAAAGAGCCACAATACCACAAAATTCTACCTGTGGCATGGCATACACTCAAGTTCAAAAGAAAAAATAATATGTTAGTCAACATTTGATAGAGTTTGTTGCATTCTTTATGACTGCAATTGTTTGAAGTTCAATTGTTTGAACTTTCATTAGATGAATAGGTTACGTCTTGGCCAAATTCAGATGCTGGGGTTTAGCATTGCTCTAGTTTATAATAGAGACTTGTAAGCCTGAAGGTATTTCTCTTAAATGTATCTTTTGCTTAAAATGTTTAGAAATTTATATAAGGCAGTCACGATGGCTGTTACTGTCTGGCTGGTTACCTGTGTGTTTGAGAGGAAGTGTGGTTAATCCTTTTTTAACATGGTGGTAGACTTGAAACTAAATGTGTGACTCCATTGTGGAGCTTCATTATTATTTGTGCAAGTTTATTTCTCTCCCATGGTGCTTTCTTTCCATTTTGAGACTAAGAGCAATGCTTATATTTGTTCTAACATTTGGGTAGATATTGGGAAAATTGAGGCCCCATTTCATGTTGTCTATTACTGTGAAGTTATACTTTAAAACTTTTGCAGACATGTATTTGAGTTTTATTTGAAACAAGAGATCCCTGCAAACCTAAAGGAAAAATAGTGAGAGATTTGGATTATACGCACACTTATTTGAAGTTAAGCAGATAGTGTGTGTACATACACTTGTGCGCATGCACGCCCCCTTATATATACACACACACACAGGGGTATATATACTTTTTTTAATTTACAGCTTTGCGTTCAAGACCAAGAATGTAGGATAAAAGAAGATGGAACTCCTAAATTGGATGGACTTAATGTGGTATGTTAACTTTATTGTTCAGCAGCTTAGAGAGGTATGCAGACTATATATGATGTTATACTGACTGAATTTTATCCAGTGTTAGATTAAGAATGTCAGGCTGAGAAAATGTTTAATTGGAAATTAGGATGTAAGAATCCTAAATATCATAGGCAAATTGAAGCTTATTTGAAAAGACAGAAGAATGAAGTTATTTGTCTGTTTCCCTGTAAGAGAAAACAGTTGTCTCCTATGTCTTAATCTAACAATTAACTATAGTAAATTAGTATTTATAAAACATAGCTTTACAAATTTAGGGCAAAACTTTCAAACATTGGTGCCTTAAATGAGGTAATTAAATAAGGACCAGATTTTGTTTTTTAAATGCATCTTGAGTACCTACCTGCATTTGAAAATGTTGGTCATAGTGTTGATTTCTTCCATTCTCCTGCTCAAGGATTGTCTAGTAATACTAATGGGAATGCCTAATCCTGTATAAGCTTTTATTGCTTTTACAAATATTTATTCTGTGCTCCTAACTCTGTGTTTTTGCATTTAAGTGTTTTCATCAATGTCTTGAACTTTTTGGCCATGTCTCAGGACCCTTTCTTCCATCCTTGTTTCCTCTTCAGTTTCTTGTGTAGCTTTTGATAGATGATCACTTTTTCTTTCTCTTGAATGTTCTAAGCCAGGCAGGATTCTTTATCTCCTTCCTTCAAATGCCACCTATTTCTTTATTTGGTACTATATTTAAAATTTTCATGGGCAAGGCTGCTTCATTTTTTCCAACCTGGGAAAGCAAACACAAATATATCCACTAAAACTAAACTCTCTATAATATATTTTGATTAATCCAGGGGTCGGCAATGTTTTTGAGCAGAGTGCCAAAAACACCTGCAACCTCAACTTTTTAGATGTTGGCATGTAAGATGTTGGATGCATGTAAGATGTAAGATGTTGGCATGCCAGGGGCAGATGGTGGGGGAGCCATGAGGGACCTGATCCTTGTTGTGACAGCGTAGCCCCAGCTTCTTCCCCGAGGCATGAGTGTCAAGCAAAATTCCGTTGTGTGCCATGCTCTGGCATGTGTGCCAGGGATTGCTTACGCCTGGATTAATCAGTTATTCCTAAATGATAATATAGTTTGTTTGCATTATCTAATTTAAGGACTAATGCTCTGTTTGATCTGATTTGGTTCAGGTGAACATGCTAATTGCTTTCTTTTCTTTGCTGACAAGCCAGTGGTCTAAAAAGTTTTACTTTGCGGTCATATGGGAAGAGGCTTTTGGGGCTTTCTGCTTTAGCCACACTTCTGCAGCTTAACTCAGAGTTTCTGTTATTTAATTGCCCATTTACAGCAACAGCATACAACTCCAGTCTTCATATAATGGAAGAAGTATACCAGATGGAGACATTTATGTTAATATCTCTGTGTTTCTTGCACATATATCTTCTCTCTCCCTCTCTTCCCACCCTTCCCACTGTATTTATCCAGGTCCAAGATGTGGATTCTAGATATGGAACATTTTTATAGATTTGTTACAGTTTTCCATGTCTAGAATCTAATTTTTGGAGGGTTGTTTTAAATATGTCCCCCTTCCTCCCCCTTTGCTGCAGAAGGGCAAATGGTGGGGGAGCCAAGTGTACTGACTCCTGCCCCTTACCTTCTACATGTTGATGCTGCCCCCTCACCCCTCAGTAGTGCCTTCCACCACTGCTGCCTGTGTGCTCCAAAGTGTGCTTGTTTCTCTTGTGCCTTCCTCACTGCCCCCATCAGCTGCTGGATAGTCCCAGCAGTGGGATCACACTAGAGTCTTGTATTGGCTCCAGTGTGGTCCCAGGTGAGACTGCCTAGTCTCAGACCCCAGGACTGCACTGGAGTGTGTTCCACAGTCTGGTGCAGTCCCAGGGCTAGGATCACCCATCAGGTTAGTGGCTCCCCTTGTACCAGATAGTGAGCACAATTGGGATTTGATCCCTGATGCCAAAATCATGTGTCCTACTATGCATGTGTGGCATGGCAGGAAGTTATTGTTAGGATTGAAAGTCAGACCTCATTGCATCTTTAAGTGAATGCCTGTCAGCAGCCTAAGGTGCCACCCTGTCCTGTCTTTTTTCTAGAAAATGTGAAAAAAACGCCTCTAAATCAGCTGATAGGTGGTCCTGCGGAATGCATTCTGGGGCAGTCCCAGGATTGTAGCTGCGGCACGTCCAATCTGGGACCACACTTGTGTGGAGTGCTCTCGAGTACAGTACCAGGGCTGAAAACTCCAATCATCTGATTAGTGGGCCCAGTGCATTGGCTACATGAGCTGTTTGAGGCATGATAGAAATCAGCCACAAAATTATTATGCATATTTTGTGGAATAATGTTGTGACTTATTTACCCTTTTATTGTGCCATTAATGGCAGTAACAAGTAGCCAGGCCACTACTTAAGATGTACTTAACTATTTAATCATGTCTTACATGTAACATCTACCAGGGACCTTAGAAACTATCTTGTTCAGGAAGGCATACACTTGTGTAGGCAGTAGCCTGCTTTGTCATATTAGCAGGCTGTTGCCTATGAAAGCACATGCCTTTCTGAATGAGTTAGTTTCTAAGATACTACCTTGCCCTGCTTTTTGCTTTTTTTTTCTCCTGTGCAGTAGTGTAATAGAGGGGGTGAAAAGGGCTGCAGCCATGGGCACCACTTCTGGGGAGGAGTAAAAGCAGAAGCTGACTGAGTGACACCTGATCATCCCACTGCAATCAGCACACCCCAGGAACTGGCATTGCCTTGTTTGGCAGTGGCTGCCCCAAGTGTAGACCTACCCCGTTACACCTTTGGTTGTGTATTAATGTTAACATATCTGTAGTAGCTGGTTTCATCTGCCTAAAGCTTACTGTTTTCCACCTTGACAGTATTAGTATTTTGATTAGTCTTAAACTATGGATTCCTGAAGGATTGTTCTAGGTTTGTACGGGTACACTCAACCATATCATCACCTTTGACATAATATGTTCCCTTAACATAGAGTAACATGATTCCTACAATAACATTATGAAAACAATACTGTAAACTAAAAATAAGGTTGAGCAGTTCTTATTCACATATCATTTCTGATTGCTCTAGAACTTTAAAAATATCCATTAACCCTTCCCACCCCCAAAGCTTACACAGCTATCTGCCTACTGCTTCATTTTACACGGTGCATGCTACCTAAGTAATGAGGGGTATATTTGGTAGCTATGTTGGTCTGAGGCAAATGCAAATGCAAAACTCTAGATAGAACTCTCGGTTCAGAGATGATACCCTTTATTAGACCAACCAATACATTGTAAAATATTACCTTTTCTGCAAGCTTTTGGGCACAAAAACCCTTCCTCAGACTCAGGGAAAATTTAAAGATGGTAAAAAGTCCCCATAGGTAGAAAATAAACTTCATTTTTGCATGGAGGATGCTGAAGATGGAAGTTTGTCCCTCTGGGTCCATGAGAGTGTCTTTGTGAGCTGCTCTTTGATGTGCAGATATAGAAGCATTCCTTCCCTGATGGTGTCATGTGGCAGAAAGCCAGGGAGGTGGTGTTGTTCAGCAATGAAGTTACCATCTTTAGTTTTCCCTGAGCCTCAGGAAGGGCATGTATGCCCAAAAGCTTGCAGAAAAAGATGTTTTTTGTGTGAGAGATTTTTTTTTTTCAGTTGCTTTAATAAAAGGTATCCTCTCTGAGTTCTAGAGTTTTGCATTTCACCTAAGTGTTGAAAAATTTAATCCTTTCCTTGTCCTTTAAGACAAAAAAAATACCGCTATAAGTAAGGATCTACCTAAATCGGGCTGGAAATGCACTGCGCAGTGCCTCCTTTAACCTTACTCTTCTCTCTGCACACCCCTTCTCCCTCCCCCTCTCCCTTCCACCCCCTTGGTTAATTGGCCAAGGAGCCCTGACAGCCCTGCTGCTTGCTGCTGATTGGGTTGGAGGTAGAAACTGTGGCATATTTAAAACCACAGTCTTTGCTTCTTGAACGATTAGGAGTGAGCAGCAGGGCCACTGAGCCCCTCTGCCAATCGGTGATAGGTGGGGGTGTGCGGTGAAAAGAGCAAGATTAAAGGAGCTGCTGCATAGCTCAGTTCCAGCTCTATTTAGGTAAATCCCTAGGTATACGAGAATCAAATAAACCAAAATCCTGAGGAGGGACAAATAACATTTAGGTCAATTATAGCTTTCATACATCTTAAAATAATATAAGACATCAGTCAGTCTGAAAAGTGCATCTCATCTCACGTGGTTAGTTTCAGACAATCAGCTTCTTGTTTTTGCTATGTTTGAAACACTTTTGTGTCACAAAACACTTTTATCTCAAAAACAAACAATGAATTCTTGCAGGAAAAAGTAGTGTGTAATTTTATAGCCTTTGGCTCCCAATGAAATCAAGATTTTTTTTTTTTTTCTTCCATGAATAAATTCATAGGGATGTTCCATTATTTTGTGATCTTACCAGGTACCAGTCAATATGTTGTCAGTACTGATTTTTGTGATTCAATCCATCTGTGTGTAGTACACTAAGCATAGAATCCAAGGGGCAAGCAATCAGTGCTGTTTTTGAATTAGAAGAATGTAAATGTGGTTTAATAATCAGTTTCTTCTTTCTTGGTCAACTCTTTCTAGGGGAATTGTTCAAATCTCTGGCTGTTAATCTTTTGTCTTGGTTCTCCATAAAATTTATTTTCCTTTTGAGTGCTTAATCTATAATCAGTTTATTTGGAATAATCTTGTGCTCATCTGCAGAGGCCTGTTATTTTGCCTTTTTACCTCATGCTTTCACCCCAAAGGAGCCGCACTTATCTATTAACACTGCTGCTGTGTGAAGCAACTGAAAAGCATGTGCAGGAGGAAAAATAAGGCCTACAGTAAAAAAAAAAAGAAAAAAAAAGCGTAATTAATGTTGGATGTTCTTAGCAGGGGAAGCAGTAGTTAGGGATGAGACGGTGTAGATACTTGATCATCAGCACACAGTAAAACCTGGATTTTCTCCTTTAA